TAGCCGCTTGCCAGAGGCTCCCATAGACTCGTGTGCTGTATACAGCCACAGGCAAAATAATTTTGAACACCGCCTACCTTGCACTCCTTCATCGCAGAAGAAGTTGATGGCGGTGGAGCGCTCGTAGGTGTTGGAGTGACAGTTCTTGGTTCCCGTGGTGTAGTTAAGCTTCAGTGCACCGTCGTTGTACTGGAGATTCTGGTTAAAGAGGCCTGTTGGCGTCAAGTGGCAAACTTAGGTTTAAAAATAACTGACTTCATGAGAGCCTAAATCCTTGTTTTGATTGAGCACTGAATGGATTTTGGGCAGTGCATTTGATGCAATTCGAACAGTCACTAGCTCTTTCAAAATGATGAACAAGTTATATAAAACTGAGACGTAAGCCATCATTTGATATGTGCTTTCCCAAGAATAATCCGAAATCTGCCAAAATGGCAACAACAAATAAAACCTGATGACATATTCCACAAACATGAGCACCATTTAGGGCATCAAATACTGTGTGAATGTTAGCGCACCAGCATTCTTAATGAAGCTGTCTTCTCCGGGCTTCAACTGACAGGCTCCGACGTTTTCCCCACTGCAATCTCCATCTCTGCTGACGAGCGGACCACACACGTTGATGTGGTATTCGTAAGGTGGGGCGCTCACCACGTAATCATGCTGGGTGTTGTGGAGAGCTGATAAGTCAAATTGGAATCCGTAATTTGGGGCCTGAACAACGCAGTCTGCTCCTATAACTCTCTGAAAAGTTCCAAGAGGGAAATGATATGATTTAGGGATTGGTCAGCCTAGAGAGATGCATTCACAAAAAGTGTGTCCCCATTCGAGGTAGACAAACCAAAGAGGATGCCCATCCACTGGGGTTGCCACGCCCACAGAATTGCCCCTTCACTGAAGTTGCCCCACCCACAGAACTCCCTAACAACGCACTCATAGTTTGAAGTTCAGCTGACACCCCTCCCCTTACAGGGTTGCCCCGCCCACAGGGATGCCCCACCCACAGAACTGCCCCTTCACTGAAGTTGCCCCACCCACAGAACTCCCTAACAACGCACTCATACTTTGAAGTTCAGCTGACACCCCTCCCCTTACAGGGTTGCCCCACCCACAGGGCTGTCTAACCCACAGGCTAGTCTCACCCTCAGGAGAATCTACGGACAGAGCAGGCATCCTATGGGATAAATAGGGCATTTCCTTATGAATATTCCTAAATGCGTCAGGATTCTCAAGATTTCAAGCCAATATGGAGTAAAAGAGGCTAGCACAGGCTCTACCTTCCTCGATCCTACAAAATCCTCCAAAAATTCCAAGCAAATTTTGAATTAACTTGAGAAACGTGGGTTATAAATATACTTGGCCCCACCTTTAACGGACATGCCGCTGGCGTCTCCCATGTGAATATGTACTCACAACTTGCCGTTTCCAACTCAAATACCGGTGACCCCTAAAAAAGATGCACACAAGGATAGACGTAGTACCAGTCAACTCTTGCCAAATCTGAGAAAGTTCCTCAGATGTTTTTCTTTAAAATCCAAATTTTGGAAATTTTGTTAATATTATATTGTTTGAAAACCCTGAATATTGAACATTTTGGTTTGGGGTTTTGGTCAACATTACATTTTGAAATCAATACTGAGTCGAGGAAATCATTTTCACAACCTTGGGATAATGGAAAAATTTCAACAACCAACATTTGTTATTTCCTAAAAGTATCACTTCTAAGGCACTGTATCAACAGACTGACTTCCGAAGAAATTCACAGCAAGTTTCAAGCAAGTTGGCGACAAAACGGAAGATCTATTAAATCTGATATCCGATACTTTTAGAATCAAGGAGATTGTCATCTGGCCGGAAAGACAAATGTAAAGACAGATTTGTTTTTGGCGTACAGGCGTTGTGGAGCACTCAAAGTTGATGCGCGTGCTGCGGTGGTATTTGTTATGACAGAGATCGCCGTTGACGTAGCGTATGCTCAGGGAACCATCCACTGCTGCCTCGGGCATGGCCTGCACGTAACCCATGTTGAATGCCCTGTTGTCATCAGTGGTCTGACAGGCACCAATTGGCCCCCCTGGAAACAGAACAGCAATTTTTTTCGACTAACTGAGGTCTCAAAGTATGGAAGATAATTTTGAAAGCGGAATTTCCTATTTGTTTTGGGGACCACGAACAATAATATTCAATGCCAAACAAGTGCTGAAAAGATGAAAAAAAAAAAAAAAACATTCAGAGGAATAAAAGAATAGTTTTTAAACCCAAAATGTACACAAAATGAAATACACAAGGAGATAAGTTTGACATTTAACAAATGTGTATGTGTGACCCGCTCTGCAAAAAAGGGTAGTAAGTCACGCAATGCCAAAACAAGTCATGGCCTATTCTATTTGGAGAGGGCAAAAGTTCTTCAAAACATGACTTTCAATACCTGGGCAGAACTGAGTGTCGGTGCCGAGCGAATTGACCGGGCGGCACACATTGATGTAGTAACTCATCTGTGTTCCTGGTCGCGTGTCCACTGCCTCCCAGTTCCCGCTGTCCTTGGCCAACGATGACAAGTCGTACTGGTTGCCCTGCCCATCCGACACCAGGCAGTCCACCGACTCCGGCAGGCAGGCCAGCGGGGTCTCGAAGTTGAAAATGTAGGCATAGCCCTCCTGGCGGACGAAGGTGGGCTTCTGGTTGTTGAGTGAGGCGTTGCGACGACACAGGAATGTGATATCCGTCTTGAAGTTGAAACCTAAGCGATGCACACAAGCGTTGTAGAATTAGAAACCATTCACTTTTGCAGCAACGTGCTCCCAGGCGGAAGTAAGTGCATGTTAAACGTGATTTGGGACTTGACGGGTGCAAGTTTAAGACTACGAGCGTGAATGTAACGCCAACACAGTAATGGTCTCTTGGACTTGTCTGCAAGAGAGTGCTATGGAGAGCCACACAGGTTTGGTCAAATGACTTCTTAGGAATGACCTACACTAAGCAGTGCTTAACCTACAGCATCACAGTCAATCAAAGTTACTGCATATCTTCAACAAACCTGATTTTTAAGAAAAAAATTGAGTTTCGACTCACATGTAAAAAATAAAAAAATGGTACTGGTTTGAAAAGCCACAGATTTGAGAGGCCAGAAAAGCCACCGATTAATATGTAGATTAGAGGAGGTCAGTTTGGATTTAAAACAACCTCCCCCCCCCAATTTTATGTAAACAATCTGAAAAACGGTGACCATTTGTTGGTTTTGTTTTAAAAACAACTTACAAGAGAAAATTGCAAAAAGTACGACCGTCTCTCGCTGTACAGTATAACAATATAAAAAAATCAAACGGTAAGACATACAAGCGACTTTCAGTCAGTTCTAAAGATGAATATCTATCCGTGAGCTGTATTTATTTGGGTTTTTTTGCCTTACCCGATGTATATTATAAACACTGAAAGGTCAGTGTGGACACCTGAGAGCCTGTGAAAAAAAAGGCAAGCTTGATTCGGGTGGGACTCCAACCCACAACCTCCTGCTTGCTAGTGCAGACATCTGAACTATTCGCCCACCGAACTTGCCGGGGTCGGCTGGCTGGTGCGAGTCAGATGTAGCAGCGGGTACCGCTAACAATTATTTCTAAAGATGAATTTGCGTCGGGAAGATGTATTAATTTGGGTTTTTTTTGCCCTACCCAACGTATATTATATTATATTCTGTCTGACTTTTCAGTTGGACAGAATCAGCCCCAAATCTTACCGTGGCCTGCATTTCCCCCCTCGTACGTAAGTGTCAGGAGCCCGTCGTCAGAAAATTTCAACTGCTGTGAGAGCATGCCGATGTTTTCGGCTGAGCTGCCGTCTGGACTGATCTTACAGGAGCTGAGTGGCTTCCCGTTCCCAGACACACAGTGGCTGTTGCCGCCAGTCACGTTGCCGCAGATGTTGAGCTGTTTGGAAGAGTGAGAGAGAGCAGTGAGATTTAACACAAATGCTTCACCAAAATTTTAATCTGTCATCTACTTTTTTCTGTCAATGTTGAATAGGACAGCTTTAATGGCACTTTGGCACTCTATTGATAAATACTATAAAATAAGAATTGTTATTGTCAAAGGAACACTGTTGATTCCAATATCTTCTGAGAGTACCTGGAAACGGCTGCCCGAGGGCCCAGAGACATTATAAAAGCCATCCGGTTTGATCAGCGTCTGCATGTTGAAGACGTACTCCGAGTTGGGGTCCTTGACAGTGCAGTCTTCTCCGCTGGTCATGTCGATGGGGCAGGCGGCTTCCGTCTCCCAGATGAAGGAGTAGTGACAGTCGTTGACCTTCTCCAGGAGTCTTGGGCTGCTCCCCTGGTGGGCAAATCACAAGGGAACAGTTGTTGAGAACAAGAGAACCGGACAAGAAAAACAGAGAGAAACTGATTGAGAAAGCAGGGCTCAAGACTTGATCGACAGTGATATGAAGTCGGGTGTATATTCTTAATTGGGCGAGTGCTCCAAGATGGGCTTTCCGACAGTTTCACCTTCTGCATTATGACTTTAATTTTGGCTTAACCTAAAAACTGCCCTCACACCCCTGCTTAGCTTAAGTCTTACTTTATTTTTTCGTCGTCAATTAGTGATTTAGTATTTACATGAAATTTTCAAAACAATTTGTGACTCATTCCTTGTATTTTGTACTCGGGCCCAACTAAGCCTAAGTGTTGGTCTATCAACCACTCCAACATACTACCCTCTATTGTCTACGCACAGACCCATTCACCACTGTGCTCTTACCAGCACACCCTTCCTGCAGCTGAAATGGATGCGGCTCTCCACCTGCCCGGCCCCACCGTTGCAGGCGCTGCCATTAGTGTAGACCAGGAGCAGGTGGCCTTCGCTCTCAATGACCGGCTTAGACTTGGGGACTCCCAAGGAGCTGACGCTGGGGACCTCCTGTCAGAAAAAAAAAAAAAAGACAGGACAAGTTTGGAGACAAACTGGAGAAATTACCCCGCCGATCTCCGGCGTTTCTAAAAGCGTGCGATTTTTTGTTCGGGTCAGCTGGAGTGCAACATCTGCTACGAGTGGTAACAAGACTGAGCAGGTGTTTTTTTGCATAGCAATGACGGTCCTTTGGTAGGAACTTGTGGCATACTCGCAGAGGCTTTTGCCCATATGGTGGGGGGAGGGAACCTGCTGAGGTGTGCAACCCAATATCTACAGGTCCAAAGGTGCAGTCTTTGCAGGAGCACAGGCCAGAGTAGAGACACGAGCCGAGATGAAAATTTGCCACCAGCCTGTTTCTTCTTTGCCTGTGAGGGCACCCTTTAACTCAGCAGGGACATGGGATTGAAGAAGTTTGGAATGACTGAAAAGGTTACGACGTAATTTCTTTATGTTCATTCATTCACAAAGCTCTTGTCAGAGCTCACTTTTGCCCTGGGAACAAACCTGACTGTTGTTGAATTCTGTCTGACAAGCTCCGGCAAAAGCGCCGCAACCCTTGACTGGGTTTACCGGCCGGCACACGTTGATGTAGTACTTCTTGCGGTTGCCATAGAGATCTGAATCATCCACAAATGACCAGTTGTCTTCCTCCAATGACTTCGACAAGCTGAGAAGCAGAAAAAAATAAGATCAAACCAAAATTTGGTAAACCTTGTTAGAATAAGCCATTTGCGAGTTAAATTTGAATAAAATCTGGTACACTGAGTTCTTTAAATTCATGTGAACACAACAACTTGAATTCTCCATACTAAACGCACTGTTGCTATACCTCATGATTTGGGGCAAGCTTTTGCTTAGTTACATAGGAGATGCCTTGCAACAATACACCATTCTCAATGGATAAGAAGGGCACAAAGGAACCAGTCCATTCCAGAGATGGTGGTCGCTAAGCAAAAGCTTGCTCCGAATCAAGAGGTATAGCAACAGTGTCTTTAATCTGAGGAATTCAAATTGTTATGTTTATGTGCAATCAAATAACAAAGTGTACCGGATTTTATTCAAATTTAACTCACAAGTGGATTATTGGGTGAACCTACCCACAAGGCCTTACAACTATTGGTGAAGGTAATTTGTGCTTCACTGTGTAATGAAGGGAAATTAGTGCTGGATATGAGATGAGTCATTACCCAAATCAAATCACTTTGTATAAAAAAATTAAAAACGGGCGAAGGAGATGCGCAAAATACCTTGACAAGTCGTACTGCTTGTGCGCTGTGTCATCAGTAACCACACACTCGATTGGTTCTTCCGGGCAAGCGTATCTGGTGTACCAGTTGAAGACGTACGCGTTGTCTGCCTCGTACTTGAAAGTGGGATATCCCGGATCCTGGTCGGGGGCGCACAGGAATGCTATCTCTGCCTGAAGGGTCGAATATGGAAATGACTCAGGGGTGAAACGTTTACAGTGGATAAGATGAGCAGGAAGGTTACAAGTACGCGAAAAGTCAACAATTTGATTAAGGATGACTAGAATTGGTCAATCTTCAGTTGTTGAGCTGGTTAAACAGAATGGCGCGGTTCCAAACAAAACGCAACACTGACAATTACAAATTGTGTTCACTGAGATCTTGATTACGATAAGCAGCACCTAAACAGAGCCTTGCACGGAGGGAAAGAAGGTGGTATAAAGTTCCACCCAAATTTTCTTGTCGCTGGTGAAGTTTATTCACAATATGCATCCAACCACTTCTAGCAAATCCAGCACAACGTAACACCATAACCAGGTAATTGTGAAGGGGGCAAGTGCGTAAAGTATCCTGCTCAGGGACATAATCAAATCATTGCTCCTTTATCTCTTTTCCCACCCTGCGCTTCACTTGCTCTGCACCATCTTGAACGTGGTAGGGAGTCCCGTTGAGGTATGTCAGCTTGACGACTCCATCAAAATACTCCAGGGTCTTGTTGATGCGTCCAAGAACCCACTTTTCACTGAAATAAAACAACACCAAAACCAGGATTTTGTAACATGTTAAAATTTGTAGTTTCCCGGAAAATTACAGCTCAGGAGGCCAAGCCAGACTCACCCACTACTGGAGTCCCGTTTGACCTGGCAAGCGGCAGGGTTGGGGATTGACCCGTCGTTGCAAGGGGTGTCAGCGATTGGAGCGCAGACATTGATGTAATAGTCGTAGTCACCGTCCGTCATGTTGTAGAACTTGTTAGCTGATGTGAGACGGCTCAGATCAAAGGAGAACCCTAGCAAGGAAGACAATCAAAAACACAGATTAGGACGGCACTAAAACCTTGAATAAAACTGACAATTTCTAGATTCATTTTTCAAAATACAAGGCGAATATGACCGTCTTCGGTTAGTGTCCAATTTCAACGATCTAAGTACAAAATTTTGAAAAATTGTGCTTGGCAAAAGCACGATCACAACCCAAACTTTCCATGATGGCTACTGTTCATGACCAGTTCCAAGCTGACTTCAACTCAACAACTCCCAAGCGAAAATTTCTGCTTCAAACAGCAGTAAAAACTGGATCCAGTTCTTTGAGCTTTATGTTCAGGGTTCGAATCCACACTGAGTAAAGGCATGTTAACACCTTACCTGTTGTAACTGTCTTTGCAAATTATGGTGAAGAGAAGCGAGACAGAGCAATTACAAATTCACAGATCCAAAACTGGCCCAGTAGTGTTTAAAAAATGCGGACAATTCACACCAACTTGAAGTGCACCCTCAGCGACAAAACAGAGACAGACTTTGGGGGAGTTTTCCAACTATGCCCAGTGCCCGAGAGAAGACCATACATTTAATAGAAATTGGTTTTGCGTGCTGAATGTATCCCGTGTGATGAATTCTCACCAAAGGACCATCAGTTTCGTTCACACTTCTCTGCTGGAGGGTCACCTAAGTTGGGAAGAACTCACCAGCATCGTCATCAAACACCCGGCAGTCCGTCCCCCACTTGTGGCCCAGGGGACAGGCAGCCGCTGTTCGCCACTCAAACTCGTACAGACATTCGTCTGAGGATTTGCGGACAAATGAGGGCGCACTCTCCAAGTCACCTGATATGAGAGAAAACACACTTCTTGAGGTTTAGGTCATTTTCCATTACTTAATGTTTGGGACTTGACTATTCATCATTAACCATCTGTCTGTATCTTTCAGTCTTTTACAAACTAGAACACATCCATCATAAGGTGCTGTTCAATAAATGTGTCTTTCCACTATGGCTAGGCATTTAGGTTTTCACATAGCCAGCCATTGTCCAGAATAGTAAGAACTCCAAGGAAAGTACAAAAAATTTGATTTCGTGGAAGATTTCTATAATTGGGTTCTAGAACACATGGAACACATGAGATAGAGGGTGTAAATACAACAGTTCAAAATAGGACCCTTGGTAACTTTGGCATGCTCCTACCGTAAGCACATATGAACGTGATGACTGTCTTGGCTTGGCCGCTGCACTTTGTGCCATTGTAGTATGTCAGTGTGATGTGGCCGTTTCTGAAAACAGGTGATTCCTTGTACTGGCCGAGACTATACGGGTTATTATCGTGATCTAGTCATGCAACAAATTAAGAAAAAAAGGACAAAATCTTTTTTGTCATTCGTCCCAAATCTTGAACCTGACAAGGTCCGAAAGTGGACGGATAAGGAGCTCAAAATTGAAAGTGTAAAATTTCAATAGTTGAGGAGAGGAGGAAGTCGAGATTAGTTTTCAGGGATTTGATATGAACTGATCCAGTCTTCAATGTTTGTTTATGACCAGGTCAGGAGAAGGAATGCCAATGATGCCCGAGCCAAAGGCAGGGGACATTATTGGTATCCACTATCCGGAGATGATCCTGAACACAAGCCTGGTAGGCAGTTATTCCCATTCAAAAATACCTCTCGAGTCAAGATGTCAAATGTAAAAATGATACGTTTGTTCAACAATTTTACTTAATTTATTTCAAACACCCCTTCAGCCATGTTATGGTATGTTCCTGCTACAAGCAGTCGTAAAAAGCTCCATATATGGAGACTGGCAAACATGTAGTGCATACTAGGTGAGATGGCATAGAGCCAGCTGGTACTTTGTCATTTGTCAACCACTGAAGACTGGCCACATGGCGTGCTCTCAACCAATAGGAATGATCAAACTGTCCTAGCCATTTACGAATGAGATATAGAGTAAAATGTTCTCATAGTGAGCATCTTGGGAGATCAGTTCAGATTATCGGTCGTGCTTGAATCACTCGGCTATGACTACTGGAAACATGTGCAAGTCTATGAGAACAGGTTACAGCCACAAACCAACGGCTCTCATAGACACGTGTGTCAATGTTTGCCGTAGCCGTGCCTTGGCTATCTCTTACCGATCAGGCAAGCTGCCGACTTCTCGGGGCACGCCGCGTGGTAATGTAGCCCCTCAGGGATGATTTCGGCACAGACGTTGATGAGGTACTCGCCCTCGGACGGAGCACTGTGCTGATGCTGACCATCCAGTGCCTGCCAGTTGGACCCGGCCTCCCGGACCAGGGGCGAGAGGTCGTAGCGCTGGCCACCCATGTCCACGCGGCAGGACTTGCCCAGCGGGTGGTCCAGGCAAGCGTACTGGGTCTGCCACTCGAAGAAATACGTACACTCGGTCTCCGTCACAAAGGTAGGGTTCCCGACACCTAGCGGGGGACAACAAATCAAACTGCATCTGAGTCCGAATGGCAGCTAGGGCTAGGTCTTCCCTGACTGCAAACTTGTGGACATAAGGTGGCAACAGAGGAAGCCAGAAATCTTGACGCCTGTTTTGGAAATGGCAAAGATCCAGGTTTTCGCCTGTTGCAAATATGCGGGTGCACGCTCACAACAGAAGCAGCCCTCCTTCCAGAAGCCCCGTCTTGATGCGGCTAAGTTTTCACAGTGTATCTGCCTAGCACAGCAATGTCAACAAGGCAGCATAGCTTATACCACAGCCGATAAAGCACCATTTTCAAATGCTGTCCTACGGAGTGCGCTCACACACTCAATTTCTATCTACGGACGAAATCAAACCTACATATGCTGTTAAATTTTCAGTAGTCGCACATTACCTGCGGTCTTGCTGCATTCAAACGAGATGACAGATGTGCGCGGAAAGCCATTGCTGCAAACAGCTCCGCCCCTGTATGTCAGAGTCAACTCTCCATCAGCATAGCTGAAGAAATAAAAAACAATGATTCAAAAAAAAGTCGTTTAAAGCAACCAAGACCACGATGTTGCTAGGCACTGAAAGACAGTCAGACATAGCAACTGGTTGTCAGACTGCGATGTGGATGGTTCTTGGTTTAATTTGGTTGTACTCTGGAACAAGTTTCCGGTGAAATCTTCAACTAGAATGCTGTCAATGTAATGGGTTCTGAAAGTGCACTTTGAAGGGAGCTAAAGTGGATTTCTGATAACAGCCACCGCAACTTTGATTCTGTGACCTCTGATGTGGGGGTCAACTCATTTAAATATTTGCACATCCATGCACATCCCACATGTACGTCAGATAACTACTGTGGACATTCCGTTGTTTTGGGGCAGTTAAGAAAACTCAGCCAACATAGTCATTTTTCTTGACTGGGAACATGATTTTCAGCGGGATTTTTGTAAAATCTTTCCTTGAATGTTCCTCTTCCATTTACAATCAATGACCCTAACCCCTAAATACCTCTGAACTTCTTTTCAGAGAAGAGGAAACTCCCTGTAGACATGGCAAAGTGCACAGAACGTCTCTCTGTCCTGCATTGGATGGACTTCTTTTGATCACAAGTCCACATTAGATATGTAAGGTTACCGCATGTGAGGGCAGGCGCTGTTTGCACACGTATGCACATTTCCCCCAGTTCGTCGCACAATGAGATTTTAGGGAAGGAGAACTGGCAACGCCCACAGCAACCAATACTATGACAGAATCCTCGAGCCAATGCCTCTCTCGTGATATGACAGGTTGCCTGTCTATTTTCTCACCTCAGAACATGCTTGTCGTTGACGCCGGCAACAACCCCATTCTCTCCAGACGACAATTTCTGGCACACAGCCCCGTGGCGGTCCCCATCTGGGCAGTCAATTGTCGTGTCCTGACAAACGTCTAACCAATAATTGTATCCTCCTCCAGCGGCAAGTTTAGGGGCTTTCCCTGCAGTAGATAGAAAGAGTCCACAGGTGCATCTCAAAGGAGAAAGCCGACTCCCCAAGTTGGGATCAAGAAATATCAATTCAAATGGAAGAACCACGTACAGCAGAGGACTTGAAAACATATATTTCTTTCTTTGAAATCAGTCTACAGACTGCAAAAGAATAACAGTATGATTTCAGAAAAAAAAAGCCTGCCAAACTCTTATCTACACTTAGAAGTTTTGATGGCTTTGAAGCAAAATAAAGCGCCTTGGCATCATTAGAGCCTAGCCAAGATTGACGATACTAAAATGTTGTAATGTCTGTTAAAAAACACACCTTATCGACTGACATATAAAACATTATTCATAACTCCTGAACTGGCCAAAAGAGCAGTATCAACTTTAGTGCTGTAAGTACAAACACAGTGGTATGGGAGCACATGACACAAATACAAAGATCTTACTGGATGTGTCTGTGAGTGGACTCAGATCTAGGTCGATGCCGTGCTGATCGTTGGTGAAGGCGCAGGTGTCTGTGGTCAGCATCTCGGCCTTGCAGGCAAACTCCGTCACCCACTGCACCTCGTAGTGACAGTTGGTGCTGGACAGGAGTTTAGGATTCTGACTCTGAACAGAAAAAGCCAGTGAAAAAAAAAAACCTTTTTTTTCAACCGTCACATTGAACTTTGTACTTCACAAATCGCTTAACAGATGAAAAGGACAGCTTTTGGAGGGTTTTGATGGGAAAATAAAAATCTCCAGGCTACGTGGAACTCGATAAACTGCTAGAATCAGATTTCGCTTTTGGAATGCAAATAATGTAGCTGGCATTTTGGGTATTTGAGGTGAAAGTGACATTCTGGATTAAGTTTGGCTGGGTTCTACCTTCCTGCATCCCACAAAATCTTTCCTAATCTCCTGGTTGATATAAAAGATATGTAGGCTTTGGAGGCAATACTCTGTAAACTAGCAGTGACTGAGCTCTTAAGTCTATCAAAACATTGCAAACCACCATCTTTTTTCTCCCCTCCCACTTTTTACCCCTTCGTTTCTGCCTCCCTCGCGGGGACAGACAAACTCGATGGTCACTTGCGGTGAGCTGAGGCAATCGGCGGGGGTGGTCTCGGTGGTGTAACGCAGCTCCAATTGCTCATGGCCGATGGTCTGCAAACGGCTGGATGCTTCGCCGACGCTGACCACGCTGGTAGTGACTGCGCCATCAGTGCCTGTGGAGCGGGTGATCCAACACGCGGCACTGCCCGTTGGGCAATTGGCTGTTGGCCCGTCTATGTAAACCGGTAAATATGGAGAATAACTATCCTAATTCTAACCCTTTTTAAAATTTGTTTAAAATTTGCACTTTAAATCCGACAGACTGGAATATCATCCAAGCATTACAATCACTAGCATTATCAGAAATCCAGTTACTACAGCAAAAATCTCTTGGCTCTTGGCCAAAATCTCATTAACTGACAATGCGTCTGGCATTCACTTTGATCCAATTTGATCCAGCATAGCCCAGTCAAACAACCATGACAATATTTTTTTGGTAGGTAGCTGTCCCTGCAATGTCCACAAATTTTATTATTTTTTACTGCACCAACTACAAAAATGGATTTGGTCAAAGGACAGCGTGTGAATTGCTGGTAAATAAGTTTTTGAATTCCAACATTTCGGCCACAAAAGTATGAGTATTCTGTGGTCACGGAGCAGACTTCGTATGCACATACTGTTTGTTTTTTCTGTTAAAATTTTTCAGAATTTTGTTTACACTAAAGTAATTCAAGTTTTTGCTAGGAAGTTTTTGCAAGTGGGCTAGGAGACAACCTTGCATGCACACACACCTGGTGTCAGATCCCTGCACACGTTGATGTACAGGTCTTGGTCTGCCGTTTCAGAGTCGACTTTGTACCCGCCAAGTTGCTTGATGAGTGGGGTCAGGTCCCGCTTTTTGTTGCCGTTGTCGTAGACAGAGCAGGGCACTTCATGGATGGGTGCTGTGACGAGGTTCTTACAGGCTACAGTGCTGTGCCACTCAAAGAAATATGTGCAGCCGGAACGCTCAATGAAAACAGGTGAACCCTAAAAATGTGAAAAACCTCTGGACTTTCAGCGGAAAAATGTAAACTATTGAGAAAGAGTTCAGTCACAACATCACAATTTATGAGAGTCGCGACCAACAAGTTTTCCCTTTTTTTTTTTTCAACTTTTCACCCATGTGCTAAACCTCTTCTCCCTGCTAAAATCTCCCTAAAATAGACATGCAACTTGGACTTTGACCAATCAACAAGGAAACTCCAATCTGCACCTGACTTTACAGAGTGTTTTTCAATTTTCAATGGCATGAGCGTAAAGTGAAAAATGAGGAAACCAGCTGATCTGAGGAAAAGCTGTGTGCCTGCTAAAATCAACAGGCGCCCCTCGAAAGCTTCTCATTTGCAACTTCCAAAGAACCGAGTGGTCCAATAGGAAATTCTTCTCCACTACAGTGATTGGTTTATTTCAAACAAAAGAAATGGACGTAAAAACATGTACAAGATTATGTCTCTATTAAATGATACTCTAGGAATCTGGTTTTAGATTAGATGAACATATTTTTTCGAAAACCTGGAAAACCCTTGTAACAAAATCCACTTTCATTTTAAATGTTTTTATAAATATTACAAATTAAATCTCTCCCTACGCACCTTCTCCTATGGAGCTAATGGTTTGTTTCAGTCAGTCAACAGAAATGGTTTCACTATTTGTTAAGCACCACAATTACACCAGGAAGACAAGTTATTAAGCTACATTTATAAAACTCAACAATGTACGGCAGCTTTCAGAACCTGTTCAACATAAACAGTGACAATATCCCAAACTGAGGGTGGGACTTTCACACTTTTAAATGAAAACAAGTTCCAAATGCAGATACAGTTCAGATTTTCCCAAACGTTTAAACGGAACTGCCCATTTTAGAGATTGAACAATCTGATCAACGCAATGTGGCGTTCTTTTTTTTATTGTAAACGATGCTTGTTACATTCTGTTTTGTTTTTTCTTTCGGCATCCAGGTACTTTTTGAAAAAAAGAAAAGGAGATCCCAAAACCATAAACATTGCTTGTTTTAAATGCCCCAACATCAATCTACATTTTTACATTGGTTGAACCATGTGCATTGTTGAATGTAATTATGCATATGAAAACAACAAGGTAGGCGGCGGCGGCCTCTTTTAAGCGTTGGCTAAACAATTAAACAGTATGGGACAGTTTTTGTAATAACAATAACATAACTGAAACGATACTCACTAATGTTTTATCGCACTTGAAATCGATAGTCGTTTGCCACTTCTCCTTGGGATTTGCTGTGCTGTTGGCACATTCCTCCCCTCGGTAATCCAAGCGAAAACCTCCCCCATTGGCATTGGCCGTGGCACTCACTGTTTGATTGTGGTTCCCCACATTCCGGTACGTCTGGCCCATTTTAAGGCAAACAGAGCTGCCGGCGGGGCATGAATTGCCACTCCCCGTCGGTGCGACTGTGCCGCACAAGTTCATGTAGAACGCCGAGGACGTGGAAGCTAACTTGTCGGTTCTGAGGTTCCATGTTTCCCTGAAAAGGCAGTATCAAAAATCACTTTAAGATACAGTACATGGTAATAGTACACCCAATATGGTCTGAGTAACTTCGACCCAGCAAATAGCATTTTTCAACATTTGGACATGGTCAGGTTTTTCTACTTTCACCTGACAATGTTAAAAAAGGTGATTTGTAGGGTCCCAGTTACTTAATTGACATTATACCCAGCACGATATGTGGCACAAGAACCTGAACAAAGTCATGACTTCAATAAAACTTTTTGACGTTCGTAATGCATTATGGGTTTAAATGGCAAACAAGCAATGCATTTTCTGCACAACCCTATGGGAGAAGTGAACCTGTCAGAAATCAATTTAGTTTTCTACTCCATTTTTTTTTATGTATCAGCTCACCAGCTCACAGATGCAAGCGTATTATCAGATTGTACAGGAAATATTTCAAATCAGTTTTCAAATGTTTGTAAGAAGAAGAAATCACCCTTAAATGTCTTTTTTAAGAGCACCAATCACTCTACAGACTGAAAATGAACATGACTGGTCAATGCAGGATAAATGAGCTACAAGTCATGATTTTGATTGGACAGTACTAGAGTCTAGAGTATTAATATTCATGATCTTAGTCAAAGCATAGGGTATGACAAAAACTGGTGTTGTTGGAGGGGATTCTCTGAATTTTGCTTTTCTGCCAAGCTTTTAAACTTTGAAGTTTGTGAATATCTTTGTCCCAAATCAATAATGCAACACTTTGTCAGAAGGGGGTGGCTTGAATTGGAGTATGAAATAAAATGGACACAGATTAACATTTTGCAGATACACTTCTCCCACAGGGTTGTGCATAAAATACATTTCTTGTTTGTCATCCGAACCCATACTGCATTGCAAACATCGAAAAGTTTATTTCCCACAGTCCGTTCTGTCGCCACCATGGCTATTGATTTTAGCTTTCCTGCGACAGTAGGCCTAAGTGAACAAAGCTAGAGGGGAACAACAACTTGGTGAGCATCCATTCGCCCGACGTTACGCAACGTTGTCATGAATTTGTTCCCTCTGTCATGTCTGTCAGTGTCAGTGTCATGTCTCTTATTTAAAGTAACAAAGAACTGACGCCAAAGTACCAGCAATGTACAACCTCTACTGTCCTAAAAAGACAGACAACAGCTGAACAGTGTGTGAAACAAACAGACTTAACAGACACGACAAAACAATGATGATTTTTGAAGACAGTCTCACTGCCGACACTATAGTATAGTCCATGATAGTCACCGTCGACAGACCTAGAAAAACGAACAGTCTCACTCACATAAATCCTTACCATTCCTGTATTGGTGTTAAATTGAAGTCCCCTGCCATGCACGTATCTGCAACAACCTTTCCGCAGCCAAGAATGAAAAATAATAATAACTTCATCATGGAAGAATAAAACTTAAAACAAAACTGAGAATTTACTTTCATCAGTCCTTCTCGCCCCAAATTCTCCATGTTGTTAAATTTCGAGGTCGAAAGGTTACCACGCATGGGTCTTTAATTTTNATCGGTGAAGTTTTCCGGCGGCTGTTTTTTTTAATATATTGTTTTGGCATGAAACAGTTACTGGCAGGTGGCTTCACAATCGTCATGTGACAACAAAGCGTGATTGAGCAGTCACGTGCACCAAAACCCAGCTGTGTTTCGAGTCTTCTGGAAAACAGCTTCTGTAGAACAAATTGAATTCACCAAACGAAGAAGAATATCATGAAATGATGAAATCTTTAACTCAGGACAAAAAGTCCAGAGTCAAATTTCAACATGACACCGTCTCTTGGAAACATTCTTCCATGGGTATACTAAAAAAAAGTGGTTGAGTAATTAAAACCATGGAGAAATTTTATTTCTCCATGTTAAAACGAAGCCCCTTATGAAACCATATGATAAAACAAACGTCCACATGAGTCGTCGAGTATACATTTTCCGAAGTATAGTAGGCATAGTAGTTTGTTTTCCCGTCGGAGTTTGTTTTTACTCAAGCCCCCCCCCCCCAAGTTCGAGTTTGTTTTCATGTTGCCGTGTATTTTTCCCGAAGTCGGGGTTTTTACAAGTATTTTTCTTTGGATCTGGATGAATACTCTGAATAGTTCAACTCGAGCATCGCCAAGAACGGAACTGTGGGGATGCTCATTCTAACTGCAAAAATAACTTTGCAACGCGGGGACGGAAATCTCTAGCTGTATATTGCCTCCGTACGTATCAAGGTGATGTTCTGTCAAGTCCTTCCATTCTCAGTCTTATCTCTGATGGAAAAAGGAATGAAGATGGGATTGATTGTGGTATGACTTGTTAGTTTAGCCTTTTGCAACTCCGCCGGGGGCGGTCATTTGTGTGCGTGATGGGGGGTTCTCGGAGACCAAGGTAATTTACTTGATTTTATACTGAGAAGCTACGTTGCTGTCTTCTGCGCTAGGAGTCAATTGTTGTAAAAAGTTACTCGACGGAGGTGCCGATGATACTCGTTGAGACAGCGCTGGTCCAACTGTTATCTTGAGTAATAAGACGTGCAGCCCTGAGAATGTTGTAAAAGAAAGCTGTAATCGCTGTTATTTCCTGAAAACCATGAGTGACGATGTGCAAAATTCAGTCTCAGAAGAAGTACATGTAGCTAGATGAAATAGAGGGGGGGGTGTTAGATCATCCGTGAAATATATTTTCAAACTGGCAGCGTTGAGCCACGTACATGTACATGTATATTTTTAGTCGGTTTCGAGTCAACTCGGACCCAAACCAACTCGGACCCATGCCAACTCGGGCCCATGCCAACTTGGACCCACGACCAACTCGGACCCATGTCAACTCGGCCCCAATACTAACGG